CCAACAAAGTATATTTTCCTATGTGTTTGCACTTAACCCCATGGATGACATCCTCTCCCATGGAATCAATTGTGATTCCCACAATGTTGTAGAAATTATAACACTTTCGAAACATATGTTTCTCAACACATTTTAACATTTCAATTGGTCAAATCAAAAAGTAAATGAAGATCAAAATTTGAATCATCACAAATTATTGACCTTTAAAACCGTATAAAACAAAATCAATTCTTCACAAAAGTAATTCTCATTGTAGGGAGAAGGATAAAGAAGCTACTCATAATTCATGAGAAAGATACGTCAAAACAACGATGAAGCATGAATTTCATATATAAAAATAAGTTTACAAAACAAAAAAAGAAAAGAACACAACTTATCTCACACTCCTTACGAAGAAAATCCTTAGAAATTCCATTTAAGCACTTTCTTTCTTTACAATCACACTCAATTCGCTCTTAGAAATGTAATGAAGAGGAAATTTCTCACCTTCCCTCTCCTCTTACAACCCTAGAAGCACATCCTCTCTTCTCCAACAACCTTCCTCTCACTCTCATACAACACACACACATACACACACACACTTTTTTGCCCTATACTTCCTTCTCTTTTATTAGAGGCTGCCTCCCTCCAAAAAGCATTCAAAATTCTATCCAAAATTCTCTTCAAAAGTAAAACCTTCTGAATTTCAAAAGACATGTCCATTGAATAAAGAGACATATTCCTTCATTAAAGATATTTTCAAAGTGTTTAGATGCATTGAATCACTCTATTGGGCGTTTAAATCATTTGGAGCCTTCAAAATCTGTTAAAATTTATTCTGAATTGCCTTAATCCGTCTTATATCATCTCTGACGCTTCAAGCACCAGTTTTGGCTCCTCAGGCGCCACCCTGAAACAACTCCATTATTTTTCTCCGTTTGGCTTCGTTTCACCAGTTTCAATTGTGTTTTTCTTCTAACAGATATATCTACAAAATAAGCATTAAAAAAAACCTTTCTTTAAAGTGTAATTTCATTCAAAAATATGTGAGAAATGTAAAGTAAATTAAGCATAAAAAGACATATCAAAATGTGCCAAGAGATTTTTCTTTCTCGCTCGTTTTTACTCCAAATTGAGTCATTTTTATAAATTGTACAATTTTTGCTTCATTTTCTCCAAAAGTCTAATTCTTGTACCTGAAACCAAAAATATGCAAAATACCTTCCTTTAAAGTTTAATATAATTAAAAATCATTAAAGTTGAGCATAAAATATATATGGTTGAGCATAAAATATATAAGCATAAAATATATATGAAAAAGTAGATAATTTTTAGGCGTGTTAGGGTCCCCTATAGGCTTTCTCTTGAAGCTGTTAAGTTACTAGTATTTTGTCAACCTACCCTTATCTTTTGCTTTCTTCTTCAATTAGAATTTTGAGCATGAAACCAGAAATCATTTGGCATGGTAAAAAATGGAGCAGAAGTAGGACAATAATTGTAAACAGTAACAAGTATTCAATGGATGACAACATTTGGCCCTTACACAAACAAGTAAAAAAGGAAACAAAACATTTTTTTACTTGACATTGATAAATACCATTACATGGCTGGCTTAAAGGTAAGCAGCAGAAATGAAGAATCCACAAACTTTATAATTGGGAAAGGGAGAATCGTTTGCTTCCACCACCAACTTCACAGATTAAAATTTGAACTTGCAATGCACGTAAAGGCACATCTAATTTTCAATAATATCTGATCAACTCTTCTCTCATTCAACAAAGGCAAACCATACCACTAAATGTTGTGTCTGAACAAGATTTCCAGCTATTTTCTTTAGTCCATCTCATCCCTTGTAACTACAAGCAGGTTCAAGTTTTAGGTTCTTATTGTTTAGCAGAAAATTTGTAGTTCTCAAGCACATGCATATACTGTAGTTTTCCCAAAGGTTTTTTCTATGATTTCTTGGTACGAATGCAAATTACAGAGATCAGAAGATAAAGCAAGTTCCTTTTTGTTTTCAAAATCATGATGTAATCAAACCATATGTTCATGGCCTCTCTATATGACTTGCATATTGCGAAGATAAATTTGTTTAAGAGTTCTCAGATTCAAAATCAATGATGATTATAGTTTTTGAATTAGAATTTAGGTTTTAAAAAGTGAAGTTCAGGTGCTAGATATGTAAATAAATAAGAATTGGATTATATGATACAATTTCAGCAGTCTCATCTGAAGTGCCTTTCATTTTTTTTAATGAATATTATTCAGAAAGCATTGAAGCAAGCAATTAATGCTAAAGCAGAAGGAAATAAGCTATTTGGGTCTGGACTACATTGTGTATTTTGGTTTTAGTTTGGTATCTTGAACTCTATTTTAAGTGAAGTGAGCTGCTAAATTCTGTTATGTTATGAATTTACAAATTGTCATGCAACAAATATATATATAT